CAAAAGTTTTCTAAATGTTTGATGGGTACGAGAAAAAGTTGTTCATTCGCACGGTTAAGATTTTATTCCTTTAGTTCATGTAAAATACTAAAAATCTCTTGGTATCTGAGGCAATATTTTGGCGCACGGTTCTCCAGCTTTGAAAACGATTCTCTGGCGCGATGAAAACATCGGCTTTGTACGCAGTGTAACGGGGATAAAGAAAAGATGAATTAAACATATCTTCGTACAACCGATCGGATGGTCATACTTTATACATTACTAACCACACGGTCACACGTCAATACATCTGCCATTCAATTTTTGTGCTCGACAAGAGCACAAGGTGTTTTCATGGTCGAAACACTATTGAGACCGACGCGAGTCGGTTTTCAACAAAATATCAATATCTGCATACGATACTTTTTCGAATTATGTTATATTGTAGAGGCGACAAATATCTCTCCGATGGGGGGTTGTAAATATTCGATTGTACCAACAACTGGTTGATTTTAACCGAGAATTATATTGATAAAAATAATGCAATATAATCGAAGTTACGAACACGGTTAGTGAATATAGAAAGAGAAATGAATCGTGCATCATCTGATACAAAAGTCTGTTCTGCTGAATTCAGAAGATTTCAACGATTCGTCACGCGGTATCCGAACGGACTTTCTCTCAACGACTCCCATCGCTAAAAGAGATCCAACCACTTGCGTGACTGAAGTTGGAGCTTCCTCTACGCCTATACCGTGTCTCTGCACACGATGATCGATCATGTTTGCCGGATGCTGTCGCGTTTCCACACCGAACACAATCGCACCCGTTCACGGGAACGCTTCAGCCATGATCGTTTAGCGATTCGCTGAAGCATCTCTGTTGCCGCGGATTTGGGAAGCCACTCGAAGTCTCCGGAGACTTGGGCAGACAGAGTCGGCAGGTTTTGGTAGGCAGGCAAGCGGGCTCAGGTACCGGCACCGGGAAGCAGCGCAGGCAAAGAGAGGGTGGCTTGGACTTCGGTTCGGATGGCGGGTATTGATCCTAGCGAACCTAGCAGCGGGGTGGCCGGGACCCCGCCTCAAGGATGAAGGGTGTCTCCCCTTCTCTCCCCTCGCGGGTTCGGTCTCACAGTCGGTCGGTGTTAATGCGAGACGAAGACGGCAAGAGGCCACGTGAGTAGGGTGGTTGCCCCTTAAGAGAGAGGGGTGAACCACCTAGAACGCGGCAAACGTGTACCAAAGATACCATCCCTTAGGCCGAAGTAATAAGCAGCCGAAGTGGTCGGGAAACCGAAAGAGCCGCAACTCAGAGACGTTGGGAAATCTCGTGAAGAAGCCAGGTGAACCGGATCGAACTCACCTTTCTCCAGCGCGTTTCCATTAAATAACATGTACCATCTTGGCCATGGATTCCCGTCCGATTTTAGTCGGCGCTTCAGCCATTTGGAGAACCGACGACGTTTGGACCACGCCACGCGGCTAAATCGAATTTCATTTAAACATCGCCATTTTTTTCAATTTACGCAATGTGCAATATACATGTTTTCGATACTCTAACGAGACGATGAAAATTTAATTTATCTTAATGAACAAATTCGAGCGTACATACACCGTAATAAACTTGTGAAAGCGCGTACGTAGAGAGAGGGATAAAAACCGCTGAAACCACACGTACGGGAATTGGAGGTCGACCGTTCCGTTCGAGGGGATACGAATTCTTGTCCTTCCGGACACGGCGAACGATCATCGTCTTTATCGAAGATAGCTTGGACACGGACGACGCACCGGCCGATCATGACGTCATAGTTTTTCTATGGTAACGCCAGATATATTTTCTTGCGTGCAAATGCCTGAACCAATGAGTCACAGACTTCATCGGTGTATGTACTTCCTCCGCTGGTTCGCCCGCATGCGTCGTCGATCGTCACTGCAAACAGTGGCTGAAATTTTTGCCTCCTTCAACGAATTATTCGTTACTCACTGTCAGGTATAATCAGGCCTAACAGATTCAATTTGTGTTGGAATTTCTCTCTTTCACGCCCGAGTCTCACATCCAGAGCATAATTTATTCTTTGTGTGTTGCATTTTCAAAATGAACAATTGAAAACATCCCGAAGGTGTCAATAATTTGCGAAATCTATTATTGAAATCATAATTAAAATTTGTATTTAAATGTAATATTGACCATCATATGTAAATAATCAGATATCATCTATATTCCTATGTTTGCCTATTTTATTCCTCGTGCATCAAATTGATACAACAGTAAATAATTAGAAAAGAGGTGGGATGCCTGTCGCCGGTACCATCTCCCAGCCGCCCTCCGGCAGAAACCTTTTCGATCTTCTACGTATAGTGAACGAACACGTCCACAGTCCGGAGTACGCATGCTTCTGGTGTTCACGTTGGCAAACCCGTGTCCGAAGATAGGTTTCCACTAAGGCACGTCAAGTTCCGATTATGGTTTGTGGCGACACAAAATGTATTCTCGTGCCTGTGCAATCATTGTCACCTTCAAGACAGCAAAATGTATATACAATGTCAGCTCAGATCGGCGGAAAACGTTTCTTCTATAATTCTTGTTCAGTCATTTGAAATCAAATTAGTAATTTTAACGGCTTTTGGAATCCAATCCATTAACATATCGCGGATGAAAATATCTTTGAAGATCTCCGAAGATTTCAACACGATCTGATCTTCCTCGAGATGATAAAACGTATTTAAGTACAAGTCGAAACCATGGTTTGAAGAACGCAGGCTAGAATAGAAAACCAGAGCATCGACAGAAGTTATAACCGCGACGTGACGTTGGTCGGCTATCACGAAATATTTCCGTCTCTGGCAGATAACGAGGAAGGTTAAAAGAAAAATCGGTGAAATCACGTAGCTCGGTGTGGGTAGGCCACAAGCGAGACCGGGTTCCCTTGTTCGTCCCACGATGAGGATTTTTCGACCTGTGGTGCCCGTGTAAACGGTGAAAAGAGAGTCGCAGCTGCGCATCCTTCTTGGTCGTTCTCCAGGCGGTCGTGTCTGGTGGCCCCGAGTCGTCGGAGACGCCTCGGCTTATTTCCCTCCTGTGTCAGCTGTGCGGAGCGAAGCGCCCGCACACAGCCTGTTGAAGAAAAGGACGGACGCAGACCGAGATAGAGTTACCCGGCTCCGATACTCGGGATAGAGAAGGAAAGAACGACCGTCCTAGCCGACCGACGGAGAAAGGAGCGAAACGTGCTCTAGTAGCCGCGACCGAGCGAGAAAGACGAATTGCTGTACATCGTTGTAGGGGAAAGAGGGACGCGTGACATTCTTTCTCTCCGTTCCACGCGTTGGACCAAGAAAGAGGAAGGATCTTGAGTAGCAGGGGAGACAGAGAGAAAGAGAGAGAGAGAGACTACCCTCGATCGCATCATGGAGGGGTCAGGTTGCCACGGAGGTTCGGAGGGGGAACGAGACCACCGGAAATCGGTCTGTCCTTATTTGAGAGGCCGCGTGAACCATGCTCTGACGATGAGTCTGAGGTCTGCTCAGGGCTTTCGTGTCTGTCTCTTCTCTCTTCGATGGCTTCTATTCGACACCACGCGCTCGAAAGACATGCTATCGAGGCAAAAACTCTCTCGAGATGGAGAGAACCACTGACTGCTAGTTACTGTCCGAACGGATGCTTCTGGTACCAGGACATCGTCGTCGGTTTCCGCAGAAGCGTTCCGAGAAAATCATTGAGGCCGGGCTACGAGAAGAAAAAGGGGGAGAGAACGAGTGGTAACGTGTAGGAGAGATACCTCTAGTACGCGTTCCATAGTATGCCACGTTATATGATATCGCAAAAGGGGAAAGATCCTCGCCGAGAATCGATAGGAAGCTGTTGCGTTGCAAGAGAACGTTCGCCTTGGAACTGGAGCATCTACAACCGCGCCTTGACGAAGACCTTTTGTTATTGATGACGATACCAGGGATTATTTTTACGACACGCTAAAGATAACAGCGAGTAATTAGACTTTTCCTAGATTCGAGCAAAATCTAAAGTACTTCTCACTTCCAGGATTCTCTTGCAAGCAAAATTTAAAATGACTACACTTCGTCACTAGAATCATTAAATTGCATAATATTTCAATTTCATATTAGCTATTCGACGAGATAGGTATGTCTGAATACAATAGCGAAATAATTAACTCTGCCAACGCATTAAGTACACGCGTCTTTATTATCAAATCAAAATGGTTAAAATGGCGAACCGAACGTTGTTGAGATTATTAATTTGTCGAGAGTTTTCCTCGGACCAGTTTCTTATCACAGATAAGAGACATCGTGGAAATCTAGATTTCGTGCAGGTATGCAATCAGAAGCTTCTTCGAATCTGACTACATATTTAGGTTGACCGATTTAAAGGTCTCAAGTCAAGTACAGGAATAAACGTATTCCTTACTTTTACTCACTTAATTACTTGATTATAAGTGTTCTTTCATTGATAAAGTTGCTTGCTATGTTTTCCGTGATTTAAAATTGTATTATCCTATGGAATGGTTTAACGTCTTTCTTGATTACACTGCAGAGTTTTATTTTCAGCTGGATAAGCGTGGGACTTTCTAAAAATAATTTATGTGCAGTATGTATTTCGCATTTTATCAAACAATTGTAAATGAATTTCTTTATGGGTGATCATGTTCAACAATGATTAGGAATTGTTCATAATTGGTAAATGTCAGCGAGCATATTTCAGTTAGTTCCAGTTCCACGTTTCGAACAGCAATGCAAATATAACTGTGGAGAACAGGAAGGATATTCTCAATCACAGTTTCTGGCTCTATTCGATATCCGATATACAATTTTAATCCACGGTCTTGAAAAAACAGTGCTCTGCTAGAAATATCAAACGCACGGAATATCTATTTATTCCATACGTCACAGCTTTCCTGCCATATCAGTATTTTCGATTCTGAATGATTTCTTGCGTTAGCGTTACCAGATGATAGAAGGAAATGTAAGAAATTTACGACAACGTAATTTTATTTGATGATTAAAAATACTGCGGTTACAGAATTGTAAAAATAATGGTAACAATAATTTTCGAGATAACGAAACCTTGGAAGCATTTAAGGTGTCGCAGAGGCGAGGGATGACGTGTGCCAACATCCCCAGTGATTTCCTCGCTCAATGCCAGATCTCCTCCCCTTCTTGGTTTCTTTTTTCTTCTACCAAGGGGCTGACCCTCCCGCGTCACGAGCTTCTTGTACAAATACACCTCCGAAACTGCCTCAGAATCTGCTGCAACGATTTCCACTCGGCGGTGTTCAGTACCACGACCGCGTTTCCTCTTTTCGTTCCGATTCGAGATCAAAAGGATCACGATTGATTCGGACGATTCATTACGAGGACGCTTTCGAAGGATCTTTTCGTCACTCGGGCAATTAATCGTACTTATTGATCGTGCGATGTAGTTTCGGTACGGTTGCGATTAAATCGGCTCAAGCGATCTCTTCGCAACGCATATACCATAAGCTGTAGAGTACAAAATAGTAAGATGTCATCGCTGAAACGTGATGCAATTCTGTAAAGATAACCGAAACTGAACTTGGTTCATTAACATCGTTATCCTTTGGTGCATGAATATGTACCATATAATTAAATTGGAAATAATGTAATTTATGAACTACGCAAGAAGTAAGGAATCAGAGTGACACAAGAAGAGGGTGAAATTAGTTTTACAAAGAACAGAGAAAATTTACATTGTTTTTTAAACTTTGAAGTTCTGATTGCATTCGGTCACGGAAAATTAAATTCCGTAATGCACAGAAGAGACGAAACTCTTTGTTCTCCGTTACTTTCGTTCGGTCACGAAATGGCGACTTACGCCTTGTTCGCCAAGGCATTAAATCCTATTGGATTCCACCGTTTATTGGAATTTATACAATTTTCCACTTCCGTCCTTCTATTTTCATTTTATTATCATTACAATCAATGAAAGAAGAATTCTACATTTTTCGAAATAAAAAATCGAAGAGCTTAGCAGACGAATGGAGCGTTAAATTAGTTTAAAGGACAAATATGTCAGTCGATGCGTATCAAGAAAAAATGATTATGCATTCGGAGAGTTCGATCGATGGCTCGTTCAGCAAATAGTGTTCCTTATTGCAATCGAACGTCTCCGTTTCGACTATTTTTAGAGGCACTGCTCTATAGGATGTTAAGGTATCGTCAGGGACCTTTCGTAATGGAGTGAAACGTTATGCAATTTTCCATGGTAGCTCCCAACGAGATTCATGTACCAATTTCTGTACGCATATATCGTCGTGCAAGAATGGACACCGCATATTTCTTCGTACGAGTTCGAGTCGGAGAAAACACAATGGCCAGAGATCTGCGACAATTCTCTTAACGCGTGTTTGCCCCGTGTACAATGGACGTCGGCAGCGTGTCGCGACAAAGGAGAAAACGGTTCGTGGGGATGAAGAGAAAAAGAGCGCGTAACCTAACGCCCCTGTGAGGACCAGGTCGAGGAAGCGCAACGTGGTCGAAGGAGAAGGGTCGCTCGGTCGGTCGCTCGCGCGCGCACTCACGGGGTAGCGACGAGAGAGGAGATCGGTAGCGGCTGTACCGGGTAACATAGGCAAGGAGGACCCGCGTGCTTCGAGGGGTGGCGAACCCCTGAAGGACCCTAGTCGGTAGCGGTGACCTCCTCCCTCCTTTTCCCTGTCTCCCTGGTCTCTCTTCCTTTCCAACCCTGTCCCCTCCACGGTGCTCGTCATCCCTGCCGCGACGGCACCGGAGCACGATCATTGGTTCACCGGTTTCACGCAGACACGAGGAGGCACACGCAGCTGCCACTAGCTGTCTCTTGTTCCACGGCCGGACCCGATCGGCCAGTCCAGAGGAGAAGCACCGCGCGTGCAGTAGTTAGCACGTTGTCTGTCACGCGTGAGACCAACGCACACGCTCGGTTCTTTTACGATCACTCGTGCACGCGTCGGTGGTTCTGTTATATTTTTTACTCAACGTGCGCGATCGTCCTCCCGAGGGCATCCGTGGATCGCGAGCAGACGCAGCTGCCCCTTGGTGCCTCTCGTGATCACCGTGATCACCACGAGTCGTGCAGAAGTTCGGCGATTCTCGTGCACGCTCGTCGACGGTCGTCGACTACCGTCATCCGTCGCCATCTTGACGGGCCTCGTACCAATCAACGGAGCGCCGATCGTCACGGACGAAGAAGGGTACACGGGGCGACACCTTTCGCCGGCGACGCAGACCCGTCACCAGGAGGCACGTGTCGCGGCCACCGGGGAAAAAGACGTGCACGACACACGCGCGCTACCAAGAGGACACCGTCATCTAGCTGCTGTTGCTCTTCCCTCTAATTTACGACCAGCCACCCCACCCCCGCGCGGTGAACGGTCGATTTACACCAAGAGGCGCACGACCGCATGTGCGTGTGACGTTTTGAATTTGAGCCGCGAGAAAGTAGTGGCGTCTGCCGGGAGGCCCACGCACACAACGTTTTTCGGTACTTCGTCGTCCGTGTCCCCTTCCCCCTCCAGCTGTCACTTGTCTTGCCCTCTCGGTCTAACTAGTTCCCCTGTCCCCTTCTACGTCGCTAGTCACAGTTCGCAGGGCGTCGCACGCAGGGCGGTACCGATGCCCTTTCGACCTCCCGCGGTCATCCAGAGTACGCAAGAGTGCTTCCGTCGCGCGACCGTCTCGTTCTCGATTCTCACGTTCCGCAATACCGTGCTTGCGAAGAAGTTCTTCCAGTTGCGGGTCTGAAAATTATATCTCGAGAAAATTTGTATCGTCCTTTTTTCTCTGTTTCACCGCGTCTTGTATTAAAAACAAGATCGGAAGATCCAAGAGTACGTGATTGAATAACACAGGAAAATCCATCGTTTTTATTTTTGCCGTACACGTTGGGAGGTGTATGCGCATTCGTCCATGTACACCCACGTGCGTCTGTTTTGAGTATCCAAGTGTCACCGAATCCTGGCAAAACGCATCTAGTCACGCGTTCGCTACCAAAGCAAACGGATCTCACTCGCAGATCATTGACGATCTTCAACAACCGAACATTTAAGAAAACAAGCTTTAAGAATTTCTCGGTCTATGCTGGAAAAAAGGGAAGAGAAGCGAGGTGACGACGGTTCGACTCACATCTGTTCCGATTGGAAGACTGCTTAACCGACGACGCGTGCATCGACCGGTAGAAACAAAGGATCGCTAAGGAAACGCACGCTTACTCATCCAAAGAATACGGCTTCGCGTGTCAGTTATGAACAAGGTTCGTGTGCAAACAGCGTTTTGAGGAGATGGATCGTCGTCAGCAACGATAAACCATTCTCGGCAGTATCGTCGAGGATGTCGTAGAGGGACGTTATCGTGTGTTCGTTCTTGGTGTGCGTGCGGTGCGTGCGTGTGTGATACCATTCGATACCAAGGAGACGACGAATTAAAAAAAGGTTAGGATGCCGCAGTGCGCCGTGGCTACGTGCCGCAACAGTCATCGCCGTACCCGTGGCTGTCGTATCCGCTACCATCGATTCCCCCAGATACCGGAAGTGCGCTCGCGATGGGTGCGCGCGTGCGGTCGCGTGCCCCTCTCGAACGGCGAGATACCGTTCAACATACAAACAGCGCGCATATGTTCCCTCCACTTCACCGACAACTCATACGAGAAGGATATGGAGCACCTTGTGCTCGGTCTTCCTGTGCGCAGTAGGCTGCGTCGCGGCGCTGTGCCGACGATCGGTGTGCCGGTGAACGTGCAGCCGGTCACCAAGATGCTCGTCGAGGACGCGAAGCGCTCCCTCCTCAAGGTCACCCATGCTAAAATGCTAAGCGAACAGAAAGTGACCGGCAACAACGGACTGACCAGCAGTAAGCAGCAGCATCATCAGCCGGCCACGGAGAGGCGGCAGCAGCACCACCAACACCATCAGCAGCAACGTGCCAAGAGTGCCAATCAACAGAACCAGGAGCAAAAGATGGCGGGCATCGATGTGCTCCTTGCCCTCGGTCTGAAACCCGCGCCACGGTGAGTCGAGTTTTTCAACCCGCGATTGAGGACGATCGCGTTCTCGATAAAGAACTCAAGGACATATCTGGTACCGGAAATGATAAGGCTCTCCTCTTTATCTGTCGGATTATTCTATCTTTTATTAATATTGTTATTGGATCGCTACAACCTCTTTTAGGAAAGTTTATTTTATAAACGAAATTCTAGGTACCTTTAGACGATGCTATTGTTTTCATTAAATTCGGTATTTCACATAGAAAAAGTATAAGGAACGTCATTGTTTAAATACAAAATTTGTATTGAATCGATAAGCTTTGCTTTTTCGTTTAAAGATTTACGATTACGCTGTTTGATTAACGCGGCAGCGACGAAGACCTTTAACGCGACCTCTGAAACAACGCGCATTGATTCACAATCTTGGATCACTCGAAATCACTTGTTTTCCCTTGGCTCGTAAAAGAAGAACAGAAAGAAATAACATTAGGTGTTTTGAATTTCCACAGTTTTTTCTTCATGTCGGTAGTTTTAAGGTCATATATTTAATCTTCCCAAGGAGTCCAAGGTACTCATAAATAAAATACGAATAGCGAAAGCATCATTGTCTGGTTCAAATTTTAAGAACAGGAAGTTTCTATTTAATTTTGTAACTTTTAAAATCTAAAATAATACTGTGTAATGAGCGAGAGGTAGTTACATAATTTTTTACATCCACGAAATAGCTATTACATGATTACAGTTAGGAAGGTCTCGTTAATTTTTCTGTGGTAACGTGATTCACTTGCGAGCCCATTACTGATGGAGAACATTACGTACGCAATGTCCGAGTAGTTTGGTCTCTAGGAACTAGTGCTGAATGAATTCTACAATCGTACGAAAATTTCATTTTGATACATTAATTTTTAATAACTGCAATGCCGAGCAATCCAGAATTCATGTTCGTTTCAAAATGCATATATCTAAAACAAACAAAAATCCTATATCTCATAATTACATTTGTGATTTGTTATCTTCCTGTGGGCAAGATAGAAGTATCTACATACATTATATACTTTGTGAAACCTGTATAGGTAAGCCGACTGACACTCCCGTGTTGGAGAACGCTTCTTTGACACGGAGGAACATCTTTCCGCTTACCTATTTACGCGTGTCATGATCTACCGTTCTGAGTCGACCAATGAAATTCTGTATCTTTATCTTTCTGCGACACACGTGCAGATAATGCTTCTTCAACATCTGCCTCCATTCGTAACTTTTCTTATACATAGGTTAGACTCGTTTCGTTTTATTCACGTCTTCTTAGGATTTTGACCTGTTTGTCTCTTTTTACATTGTAATCAACTGATAGCAGTACTTTTGTTTTCGCAAGCGGATAATGCATATCTGTTGCTCGCGTTCGCCACTTTCTTCCAATCTTTTTAATACATTGAAAAAATTTAAAGTAGACTATTTAACGAGAGAGGATAAATTTAAAAGTTTGTCTTCTTGTACTTTAAGCGGAAAGACATAAGTAGTAACTTAGGTTCAAAGTCGAAGAACATCAAAGTATTTTGTTTTGGAAAACAAGGAACCGATCAACTTGTTATCGTTTTTCTCGTTTGGGTCACGATCCAGAATAACGATACGTGTAAATGCAGATTTTTCCTACGTATTAAGTTTTACCTTCAACCTTGCGCGTGCCTATTTAACAACCTATATATTTGCTGCTTTGCGCAAACCTATTCGCAAATCTGATATTGTCAAGGACTCACATCTATTTTCCCCTTCTCAGTGTCAGCTCGCAACCTCTATTCATTTTGTTTAATTGGCTAATTTTTAAATTGCAAATTTCTCCACAACTGTTACGTAACTCGAATCTACGTAGACCAAAAATAAACTTGTAATTAGTTCCATTCGAATCAATACGAGCATAAGCAAACATATTAGCGGAAAGGTTTGTTGGGAGGACGACTCGGTGAAATTGCGGTGTCGGTCGGTTGGAAGGAACGAGAAAACGATCGGCGACAATCCGACCATCTTTGGTGCAAAAGTACGATCGACCAGGGTCGTCTCCGCGACGGCGATTTGACCTACAGCCGACCTCGGGCCGAGAATCGACCGTCCTCCTTTCGTCATTCCACCTCGTGATATATCGTAGTTTCTCGTAGAACGCCGCGTGATATTACGTGGAAAAAGGCGCAGAGAGACTGTGTTTCACGGTTGGTATACATCGGTCGGAGTGACTTCGTTTTGCGTGTCCTTGAAGCGAGCGTGCGCGCGAGGTTCGCCTGGAGAACCATTTGCGTCGGAGGTCCTCCGTGGGAACACGTGACTGGTTTCGGGAATTCCAACGGGTGGACGAAGCGATTTTTACTACTGTCCCCTTAAGTTAATCGCGCTCTCCCCTCGTCGCGGTCTCGAGCACGTACTGCATTTTGCATTTTCGATTCCGAGTAATTCGTCGATTGGTTCTCTTCTGGCATTTTCGAAGACACGTACCAAGTACGTTCACCTTGTTATCGCACGGAAGTGACGACGCTTTATTTCATTATTGGATAACGCCTGCAGGCCATTGCGCTTTGTCCCAATTATATACAATGCGCGTTTGTTGTAGTTATACAATAAACATGCCTCCAAAGCGAGATCTTTATATTTCTTAACGGAATTTAATGAATCGGACGCTTACGCGAAACTATCGTTTAAAACTGATACCACGTTGCCGAACACATTGTCGTGGAATATCGTCGCGAAGTCGATGATCAACAGTACCATGGACGACCGGTTATTTTTTCTAGTCCGTGTTTCTAACATTTTATCATATACGAACAAGGTCGGTGCAGGACAAGGCGAACTTTTTGTTCGTGTTTTTTATGTGTGCTCGGGATTTCAAGGAAAATATGGTAAAAATTGAATGAAATCGTATACATCAGTTATCAGTATGAACTTTGGACTTGGTTAAACCTGATTTAACTCAGTTCAACTTCTAACCGATGCAGCAACGTTCGAGAAAAGCCTTCGCGGTCAGGGACGAGACGATTGGCTCGATTCTGGCAAATACAACCAACCTTGCCCGCTGACTATCTCCTGAAATTCGAGCCGCGTCGTTTTCGTATGCGGTCCTCTTGCAGCGGCTTCTTCAATAAATCACTTCGCGTACCATGAAAATTAAAACGAGAGAATTCTATCGTCGAAGTTATTTTTTATTATTATTTATCTTTGCTAGTTTTATTATAGTCATCGACGTGTATTTAAAGAAATTTGTAATTAATCTCCTTTCTGGTGGTGTCTAAAAATAACGGCTCATTAGTCATGAGGTGAATATGATGAACAGGGTCTTCTTTTAAGGGTAACAATGATGTCCTTCTAAGGGAAGAAGGTGAGACTCAAGAGATTCGACTTGGTTCCGAGAAAAGTTTCGCGTTACCTCCACGGCGCTCGGTTCACCAACGCGCTCGAGAACGTCCTTGGCGCTCAGGGACACCTCAGGCAGGCGAGAACGCTCCACCGATCGTCAGCGTCCGCGAATTAGGTCGAGAGCAACGCGAGCGGGACGGGAGAGCACGTTCTCTCGTAACCGTTCGATGTCAATAATAATAGCGCGAGACTCACTGGCATACCTAGTGTTTTCCTTCTTCGTTTTCTTGCCCTGATGACATTTCGTGCCTCTTCGTGGTCCACCGCCTCCGTCTTTCCGGGAAATTGGAGAGCTTAGATGATGTTTCTCGGTTCATTGGAATGGCTTACGAACTACTTACTGTCGGTTCATAAACATCGCTACTAGAAATACTACTTTCGCTTATAGCAAAAGGTATAATAAGTTGTTTTAATTAAGTATGTAAGGAGAGATCTTTTTTTTTTTTCTTAATTAATTAGAAGTTTTGATACAGTTAATAGAAAGACAAGAAGAGGAAAATAAGTAGGGTAAACTCGAATTGTCTAACTACGGCTTCCTCAAACACAAGGTTTTAAAACTCATCAACCAATGAACAGACTGACGGCGAACGAGTGTTGAAGTTGTTCTTTTCCATTTTACTTTTTTTTCGGACCTAGTTTTTTAAAGAGTAAGAATGAATAGTCTCTCTCGTAACTGTCAAGTGTCAATCATAATAGTACAACTTCGTTCAGAGATCTTCCTCCTATACTTGGTCGTGGTAGCGTGTCTTTCGATAGACTTTGATGTTCGATACCACGGCTCCTATTTCATATATCTATTTTTACATACATTCGTTTATACAATTATGAAATTTCTTTACTGTGCAAACAATCCCTGACAGAAATTCTATTTCTTAATAAAACGTCAGTCTTCCTAGTTTCATCCGAAGAATGGATGTACTACCGTAAAGTAGTTATAGATTCCTAACTTTGGTAAACGAGTAGACTTCGTTCCTGGATATTTATTTTATATAGATAATCTATCTTTAATGTAGCAACAAGTGGAACTAGGATTATTTTCATAATTATGATTAAAAAACAATCACTGAAAACGTGGCGATCCGTTCATCTTCTGACGTACGTTTCTCTTACGTCAGAGTACGAATACGTAATTGTTTTGATTGTTGTATTGCTCCATACGGAAATTGACCCAAAGAAGCGCAGACAGATATTCGTAGTGGGCATTTCTAAGATTATCCTATTTAAACCCTAACACGCGGGATAGTGGATGTAGGAAAAATATTTATGGTGGAAATATCGCGTTCGAATCGACTAGGTGAGCGACATTGAGAAGCCATGAGGAGTAGAGAAGAGCAACAACACCTCTGATCGAGACAGAGAAGAGGCAGTAGAGGACAGTAGGTAGGAGGAGACGGAGCCGACAGAGGACGAAAGCGCGCGTTCGCTCGCGAAGAAGAAGTAGGACGCCGCTGCAAGGTCCCCTGGCAAGCGTTTAACCTAACCTAGCCCAATCTAGGCGCGGACGCACACGCGCGCGCTTCTATCTGCTCTCTCGCCCCCCTCGAGCCACCGCATTAACTGTGGCAACCCCACCAAAGCCGGTCAACCTGCTGCACTCCGCTCTCTCCCTCTCTCTGTCTCTTTCTTTACCATACTATATCCGTACTCTGCTCTCTCCGTTGTTTCGACTTCTGTTCGGTACTCGGCGGCTCCGGTATTCGCGATACTCGGCGCGCGCCTCATAGTCGGTTAGACGTCCTTCGTCTAACCGTAAATGCGCGAAAACGAAAAGTCTTCGGCGGCGTTTCGTTCGCGATAGTGTGCGTATTCGCTGTTCTAGCATGGTTGTAGAACTTTCGTCCGTGAAGCGTGGCGGTAGTTTTTCGAGAGAGGTTGCGCCGGTTTAGAGAAAGCTATGCGAGGAAGGGTTACGCGGCTCTAGCCGCCGGCTCACGACCGCGAGTAACCGCGTTCCCGATCTTCGTTCTTTCGCCGTGTCATAGTCCGACTTCTCGTGTGCTCGAACGCTTTCTTCCTCCGCTGGCCGATAGACGAACGACCTTTCATGACCTTTGCCGTTTTTACCACCCGTCGAAAGGGAGTCGCCGAACGCGTTACGACAGTGAGAGTGGAGAACGGTTTCGGCCGATAGACGCGAGCCCCAGACGATTGGCGCGATCGGCTCCGATCGTCTCCGTCCGGCTGTCTCCGGGACGGAGGAATCGAAGAAAGAAAGGACCGTCGTCGTGACCGGCGTGCACCGCTTGGTGAAAAGTGCAAGTGGAGTGTAAACGGTACACGCGACCCGTGTGCATTCGGTTCCTGCAACAGTTTCTCGTAGTCCAGTGTTAGCACGATCTTTCTTCATCGAGTGCACTCAGTTTCTCCGCGAAACCACCTCTAAACGCGGGGGGACACTGTCAAGAAGATGTAACAGTCGAGTTTTCCTCGATCTATGCGTCTAACGTACGTAAGTCTGCACACGGAAGTCTGCGTGTGATTTATGCGAATTAGGGCGGATATAGCTGGTCTATAAATGTTCTAAGCCGATATTCTAAATGTATCTGTTTGAGTGCACACAGATACTGCAACTCCATAGGAGAAAAATTTAACTGCTATCGACATTCTTTCATTAATTGTCAATTGACATGAACAGAAACAAGCAGGAATTTTGCTGTAGTAAGGGTGGAGGGTTGGGCCCATCTAAATGCACCACCCTCTGACGGTTGACTAAAGATTTTCGAAATTTAGTTCTCCCGCGTTTTACTACAAATAAAAGAAAACGGAACAACAAAGTTGTAAGTTTATCGACTATTTCTTGTCTCTTTGAGATCATGATTCTGAAAGTTGCTATTATCTCGTGACCGAGATATACATAGGAACCTGTTACAGCTCGCGTCTGATCGCGATTGTCATACCGGTTCGAGGAACATTTTGTTACAAAACTCCCCAAAAACTTCGAGCAATTTTCTAACGTAGATCAACTTGCGAAATGCTCTCTTACTCTTAATACTTCTTATAAATCCGTGGCATTGATAATAATTCTCTCGGTGACCTCGATTGCATGATCGATATTAATCCTGTCGTTATTCTCCTTTGCATTAACCGTGTGAGCGAAACGGGAGGGGTACTGGTTACAACGTGTATGCACTATTATTTTATATGTTCCTTACATTGCATTAACATCGAAGTTAATGCCAGATCTTATCGTCGCCAGTGTTTATGCTTCTTGTTTCCTGGCGACCAAGTTTTATTTCGTTTTTGACGCATGCTCGTTCATCCTGAAGATTTTTCATTCACCGTTTTACCGGCCGGTTTCGCTTTCTCCTACGCTTTCGCTATCGCTACGGTCAAACTCTTAGCTCTATTACGATTTCGCGCAGCTAAGGAAAGCGTGAAAGGTACCGTACTGGTGAAATACGAAGCCTTTAATCAGTGCTGAGTAACGTAGAAGAGCCGGTGGCTCCTTTTCGTACCCCATTATTATTTTCTAACGAATTTCGAGTAATGCATTGGATGCCGGTAATCGCAATGTGCAGAACACGAAGTAAGTACTGAACTTTGAACAATCGTCAAAATATATAGATTTAATCATTTATTGGTTCGGAAATGGTGAACTCCAATGTCAATGCGGTCCGTGACCACCTGTTGTTACATTCTGTTCGGAAAAAAGATTAGTATTAACTTACTATAAAATTATACTAATCTTACAAACCCTTATTTGTAGACTAAAAAATGAAATAATGAGTTTATCACACATTTCTATGTGCTGCGTGTTTATCGTACGTCGGATATTACTTCCGTTTAACACGTTTTCTTTTAAGTTGGTATATTGTACGAATCGATTAGACGAGTTACGACTAAACGTAAAACGTTTTTATTCTAATCAGAAGCTACCAAGATTCCGGGAAGAGTTCGAGGGCTTTTCAGAATTGGTACCGCAAAACCTATATCCGCGTCTATAAAGTGCAGTGAACGCGAGCGAGTGCAACGAACTTCGTTTTTCCCCTCTTTTGTCCTCTCTTTCTACCGTTCTGTCTCCCTTTCTCGCATGCAATTTCCCACTCTGTAAGCCTTTGCCCCTCTTTTGCGAACGACCGCGCGAGCACATCGCGTACTGTACTTACTCGTAGCAAACGAGCCACAGGCGTATTCTGAAATTTTTGGAGTCGACTCACCTATTTCACCCTTCACAATTTTTCTCTCTCCATGATTCATCCTACGACGAATTAAATTTGTATTCCTTGTATCGATCAATCGAAGGCAAGGATGAACTTCCATTTTTTTCTATAATGAATTTAAATAAAAGAAAGTGTCCATTGCATACTTATGGAAATTTGCAAAACGAGTATCTAGAACTTATTTCGTGGATTTTAAAAATCTGCTGAACTATTGCAAATGGTAGAAAGTGTGAAGGAACAAACTCTCCTTTGGAAGGAAGCAACGAAGCGCATGGGAGGCGAGGAGGCGTTAACCCCGCTGTGTGGTCACCTTCTATTCTAGTGCGCGTGTAAGCGCGCCTCTTGCTGAGGGTTAAACGCAGAACGGCCACGCACGAAGACCACCGTGGGTCATCTTCGTCGTGGGAGCCACCCCGCTCTTGACGCGTTCATCCGCGGCCGAATATCGATCGAGGACGCGATCATACACATGGAGGATGCTACATTGTATGAAATTCAACGACGAATGATACAATTTTTCTCTATTGACGTCGAGCTGTTCTCATTTCCTGTCGACAATAAATGAAGTCCTCCCTTGCCTGTTTAACCTTGTATTCTTATCTAAAAGATATATACATTACAGTAATTATAATTAACTGAAAAATAAATATATATTCCAACAATAGTTATGAACCAAATTATCATGCACTTGTATAGAAGTTAAAAAATATGCTTCGCTTATGCAACACGATGCGTGTTATGTTAGCACATACAAGACACTGTAATGACAGCACTACATCCGAGTACCGTGAATTAAACATTGAATTACTTGACGTACGATAAGTGTACTTGCCTCCTATCTTAAATACATGATTGTATCTGTCTTGTCAACTATTAAGGGCGCATACAAATTTCAAATGGACTGTATTGTTCATATTGTATTAATACTAGTTTTTAGCATGTTTTCACTAGTTTTTAGCATATGTTAAGTTTTTGACAAATTGCCTGATACCAGCAATTATTTTTATCTTCTCATTATATAATGAAGAGTGTGTACACGATACCTGTAATTAGAAATTCTTTATGCAAATTATCTAACTGCAAATGAATTGCCTCGGACGTCTGGTGGCGTAAAAGATTCGTATACACGATATCGTGAAAATGATAATACACCAAGACGCATGCACCGAGCGTTTTCCATCAAGTTTCCTTGGACTCGGATAACACCTATTTTTTTATGCAAGGTCACTGGGAACTTTACAAAGCAAACTTATCGGTTTATCAATGTCATTGTTGAAAAACAGAGATGCCTCCGATCCGACTAATTATTCATTGACCGATACACGGTTTGTGCCTTACAAGTTTTACAATAAACTTGAACGATGAAATATACAATTATATCCAGGAGCGCAAATTTAACAAACATTGTGCTGGAAATAATTATAAATAATCGATAGTGAACACATAAAACCAATTTCTCTACTGCACTCATTATGGGTTCTCAAAATGTAGAGGAAAATTAGTTTATAGCTACTGTTTAATGATTTCTTGTAAACGATACTTACCGAATAACAAAACGCAAATTGCGTAACTATTTCGAAGGGCAAAGGAAATGCCTACTCACGATAGGAAACATTTGTTTGTTTCCAGCTTAAACAAGATGCACGCAATGGAAGGTGCGGCTGGAAATGGGAAGAAGGTGGACTCGGCTGAGAAGACGAGGGACGAGGAATCTTCGAGGGCATCGCCGAAGGTCCCACAAAATCAGCAAAATGGTGCAGCGCTTCCAGAGGAGACCGCCGCAGCTCCAACCACCGTCGACTGTTTACGATCATCATCGATAAAGAAGGAGCCTCTGTGTGATTCGGAATCAGAAGCGGCTAGCAAGAGTTTGCCTTCGTCTGAAACGACTCAACAAAAGCCCATTGCATCGCGTTGCACGAAAACCGAAACAGAAGGCAGCAGCAGGAAGCGAAAGTCGACGGACGGCCAGTTGTCGTCGAACGGGAATTCCAATCCGAAGAAGTTGTGTCTGGAGCAGAGGGAACAGTATATTTCATCCCTCGTCGGCTGTGAGAAAGTTACCGCGGAGGAACTCGCTGTAAGGGCTGATCAACTTCGAGCCGAAGTCCAGGTAAATATTATTCACCGAGTAATGAAGTTGCTTAGAATTAACTTTATTAGAATTAACAAGAAGACTTGAGAGCTTTTTTATGAAAATTTAAAGTAGCCTTACCTAGTATTTTGATCGACGGTATTTAAATGGATCAGAAGCCATTCAGAAACATAATATGTAGCGAGTATCGTTTTAATTATCAGATATTGAAATACTTTTATTTATCTGTGATACATAATAAAACAGTACCAGGTCGACCATAAGTAACGGAAAATTAAATATTCTGCGGGACGAAATTTAATCAGTAATAAAATCAAATATTCCAAATACATTGTAGCTTATGCAACATAAAGTCCTCGGTTTATTGTAATAAATTCCAACTTTAATTCAAATCAACTTCGTATCTTCGTTATATTATAAATTCAGAATATATGAAGTCCCACGTATTGGATGCAGAAATGACAAGTTATATCTGATGTAGTCGATTCCATATATCACATATTTTGAATGTACTATTGCGTGAAGAGTGTCAAGCATTATCTAATATTAGAGTACCACAATATCTCGGGTAGATATTTTGGTTACTTAATTATTTCCGTTCTAATTTATTGCCGTAGGCCCTGGACGAACTAGCACGTGCCAAAGAAATGGAATGGAACGAGATCTTAAGTATGAGAAAGTTAAAGGAGGAAGCGTACCTGAGAGTCGAAAGAAGGAGACAAGTTATGGGATTCATGGAGGGCAATGGACAACTAGCGGATACATTGCCACCGGCGAGTTTGACGTTAGGCCCCGAATGGGAGAGCAGCGGTAACACTACTCCTGTATCCAAAGAAAAACTGAGCTTCGGTTCGAAGGAGGATCTACCGGAAGAAAGTTCTCAGGATTCGCCAGCATTCAAAAAAGAGAAGACTACGAAACGAACATCGCATCGCCAGTCAACACCTCCGAAACAGAGCGGAGAAAATGGCCGGAAACAAGCGGAAGCGCTTAGCCCGGAGAACAGACAAATCGGTGAGGGGCGTCAGGGAGCGATCGTTGATGTCAGGTCTATCATCGCGGATTACAGACTAAGACATCCTGAACCGGTACAACGCAGGTGAGCCGAGGAGAGAACGTATTTAAGAACGTCACGGTAGAACGAGTTTTTTTTATTCGAAATATGACAATTTATAGGGGCCGAAGAATGAGAAATTCGGTGAATGTCGGTCTGGGAGCCGGTGGAGCTATGGTCGAAACAGGTCACAGTGTTGACTCAAGGCCATCTAGTACAGACTCTTCTAAAAGCAACTCGAACACAGTTGACCCTAACAATTCCATGAGCTTCAAGGATGTACTTGTACAATTTGCCAAATTGAGCCAACAGCAAGGTATGCGGAACTCATCTTAAAATATAAATTATTTAATGGATGTAGAAACAATTTCTATACGCCTGAAATATGACATTATTATAGGTGAACCGGTAAAGACACCTCAAAATTATCCAGATGTGACGCTTCATCCTGTCGCACCGTCACCAGCGTCACAAAATACCCCACCTCAGCAGAGTGGTTCGTTGCTTCATGGAATTCTCACGAAATCACAATCTCCGAGACCCACTACTTTTTCACCTACTTTAGCTAGATTACTCACCGCACCTGAAAGAGAAAGGAATGCACCTACAGCCGCGTCCATACCGCAGCAAAGTGCGGCAACCCAGCACCTTTTGCAGACATATCAAGGCTCTAATCCGGTTTCCATCAGTGACCTCCTATCTTCCTCCAAGGTATTTCATTTTTATCCATAAATTAATAATTATCAAAATTTAAATATTGGATATTTGCGCTTTATTTTTTGCTTTAGGTACGATAATTATTTTTGTATTTTTTTATCTTTAGGCTCGAACTGAAATAACAATAACTCCGGTCATCAACACCCCAATTCAATCCCACGTGGTAAGTGTATATTAAAATACAAACGTTGTACATTATTCTTATTTAAGTGCGAAGTTCACTTGTCATGTTTTTGTTTCTAGGATGATGTTGAAGAGGAGTCCGCGGTAATCGAGGATAGAGAGACTCGCATTTCTTCGGGAGGTAGGGATGCCAGGGAGGACAGAGACAGTCCTCCACGATGCCAAGGATGCCACGAACGCGTAGCACAATTCGTGTGCGCCGGTTGTGGCCATCAGTGGTATTGTAGCCGCGAGTGTCAAGTAAGATTTATAATCTATTTATGTATACGACATATCATAATTAATTATGTTATATTGATCAAAAATAAAATTATTTATTATAGGTCGCTGCGTGGGACGAGCACTCAGAAGTCTGTTCTGGTTAAGAATACGAGCACGTATCAATCTAAACCTCGTACTCGCGTTCGGGTTAAATACCTATCAAACTGGGAAAGAATCTAGTCAAAAAAGAATGGCCAAGAATTATAATGCGTTTTTGAGTACGATAAGAGGGAGAAGGAGAAATAATAAGAAAGCAAGTGTATATTTTTAAGGATTTCGGAATATGTTTAATCTGTAAACATAAGTTTTATTTCATAATGAAGGAAACGAAAGTTCGCTGAGATAATGACGATTCTCGTGAAAGATTAGTATTTACGACTTTATGGAAGTGGAAAAAAAGAACACGAGACCCTCATTTTGACTCTGAGGAAAGATTTAGAATTCGAGTTGGAACGATCATTGCTTAACTGTAATCACCGCGTTGCTTTTACTCGTTATCAGTATCGAACGGGCATGTGTCTTCGTTCAAACAAATAGGAGAGTATTAACCCTGCTGAAATTTAAGCATTTAAACGTGTATCTTCCAAAGGACGAACTGTTCGTGAGATTCCTCATGTAATAGGAATTCGTATTGAATAATTAAAACATTCGTAAAAAAACTTCGTGTATCGAGAAATTTTTTAGATTTTAACCAATGCATGACGTACAACGTACGCTAGTCGAGAATTTTCAACTTTTTTCAAACCAGGAAAAAAGGAAGCAGACCAGAATTTAATGTAACTGGTACGTGCACTCGTAACGAGGAACAAAGCACAAATCTATCTCGCGATGCTGTACATAATTTTATACGTTAGCAGGGTTGTTCAGCGTCAGATTAAAAAAAAAATACAAGGAACAAGTTAACCGTGTGCCATGCGTAAGATTCGTTTCATGGTCAGCTTATACGTTAAATCTTAAACAAATTTAAGTTATAGAATATTCGAGTGTTTTTATAATCCTGTCTTCTCGTATCGTTTTTCCATTTTCTTTCTCGTTTTGATTTTTGATTTCTTTTCGTAAATACGTCTTCTTAATTAAATTAAAGTGAGATCGCGTTCGATAATCAGAATAAGAGATGTACACGAACGTTCTGTTCTCGTTTTTCCATTAATTTGAGAGAAACACATGTATGAACAATACATATATGTATCGACTACCATAATTTTATACCACGTTTGTTACCAACGTATAAATTTAGATTTAATGAGACGTTAGTCTTAGCGTAGGTTTAAGATACTTCTTTTCTTCTTTTTCGCAACTTGTTCGTTGGTAACATATTTGACACATTATGATTTCGTTTCTTCTATTTTCTTCATTTTTTTTAAATTAGTATGTTACCTAAACGAGAATTGTCCCAAACATAATCTGTAGTCCAAAGTTCCTACAGGTACACGCAACATTATATGTATATATTTTTCCCAATTACTGAAGCAAACCAAAATAAAGTTTTTAATCGTATTTTCACGAATCTTATATTTTACTATTTCTGCAACCCTTTTACCCTTTAAAAATGTGCTTTTCTAAGTCATGAATATCCAAATTCAAACGAGATTCTCAATAATAAGTTTAGTGTCGTTAGTTCGACTTTTTCGTATTTTTCATTCTAATTATGTTCTAATCGTTTTTTCCGAACAATACACGGCCTAACTTAGATTTTGGGCCGTCTGATCACCTACACTTATCCCTACCTCCAATAAGTATTCGTATAACTGTGTATATAGTAGTGAAAACTATAAGTAACGGGTAACGGGCAAAGATGCCAGATTGAGGACGGGAGTCACCGAGAAACAGCCCTTCCACTTACGCACACTATCGCACCGTATCCATATGCTCCGAGCTCGGCTCAAATTGAGCTGCTCAATCTCAATGGTTGTCAGGTCAGTTGCCAGTTGTTTGGCGGAGCAGCACTGGTGCAGTACGCTGCAAGTATCGGATGCATTTAAAGTTATTGAAACTAAGTTGGTCGTATAAAATATTCCTTCAACCAATGAATATGTCACATAACTTTATTATAGAAACTTTATTGGTATAGTATAACATGGCAAATTTGAAGGTGTGTCTTCTAAAAACTTGAATTTTTCCAATTAGGGACATAGGTTAAATTAATGAAATATTGTATAAATATTTGTCATTATAAATGTATATATTTAATATATCTTTGGTTATCAGAAAAATAGTAGTTGGCTACAGCCAGCATTTGGTGATGAACCAACTAAAAAATTGCCAAGGAGAAAACAAAACATTTCACTTGAAGGAACTAGTAATCGTTTACAAGTATCAAGAAGTTACGATATAATTCCTAAGAAGAAAAATACCAATAGTCTTTCTGCATTGTTCCAAGCTTGTGAACCAAAGAATTCTTCTGAATTGGTGATCAGTAGACAGAAAAGGCAAGAGATTTCAGGTTGGTTACAATGTCGAGTAAAAAGAGGCAGGCCAGCTGCGTTAATTTTATCTGGTCCATCTGGCTGTGGGAAATCAACAGCTATTAAAGTTCTTGCGAAGGAAAATGGTTTCAGTATTACAGAGTGGATTACTCCTATGGATCAAGTTGTGGATGAATACAGTAATTTCATCATGTACATTCATTAAGTTAGAATATGCAATAATACAATAAAATAAACACAGACATGTTTTAGATAATATAATGAGACAAGGGGATAGGTTTGAAGAATTTTTAATCAGAGCTACTAGGTACACTTCAATCCTAAGTAGCTATTCTAGTCGTTTACTTCTTGTAAAAGATTTCCCAAATGTCTACTTTCGAGATAAAGAGAGTTTCTTTTCCCTTTTGGAGTGAGTAAAATTATCCATCATTCTTTAAGTATATATATATTTATCAAATTGTTCTGTGTTTATGTATTTAGAAAATATTTTGAGATGGGGAAGGAACCCATAGTTTTCATATGTGGAGATACAACAAATTCAAAAATGCTCCAAACATTGTTTCCCAATAATATAAGAGAGAGATTTGGTATCGATTCGATTAAGTAAGCTATGAATTTCATTGTGTCTACGTACATTTCTACTTCAGTAAATTTACATAGGATTTTTAATTTTCTTAGCCTGAATGCTGTTACACAAGCAGCGATGAAAAACGCTTTAAAACGTATTGCTACTGTTTTAAATTCAACAGCTGGGTACATGTTACACGTTTCTCAGCAGCAAGTTGATGAAGTATTATCGAATCATCTGGGAGATATTAGAAATGTCGTCCTAAATCTCATTTTCATTTCATTGAAAGGTAATTACATTACAGCTACATCTAATAATATATTTTCATTTTCATTTAAATGTATTGCCATGTTCGTCATTAGTACCTGGAGAACAAGAAGGTAAATGCAATTCTCGTGAAGAAAATTTGGGACTTCTCCATGGAATCGGACGGATAATTAATCCAAAAAGTGTGTAAATGTTAATTTAAAATTTACCATGATTCATAAAAGAACATTAATGGCAAGAACTTGATAGGAATTCAGACCGAAAACGGCTGGAGATTCGCCCACAATCCTGATGATATAGCAGCTTACTTCGAATCACAAGCGACAATATTTTTAAATTTCCTTCAAGAAAATTATTTAAATACTTTGAAAGGGATACAGGAAGCAAACGACTGTGCAGATATTTTGAGTGTAGCGGACGTTTTGAACGCTGAATGGCGAGTACGTTTTTTATTTTATATGAGCCTAACGACAACAATTTTATGTGCATAATATTGACATTTCTAAATTTTTACTTTACTACTTCTTAGGATCCCAATTTAACAAAGCTCACTTTATCTTTATGCGTTCGAGGTATGATGGTGATTAATGAAACCCCAGTTTCTGGATGGAATCCTGTAAGGAAGCCACGAAATGAACAAACGGAAATGTTAGTATGTAAAGCGTTAATAGTCACGTCGTTAGTTTAATTTAGTCAAGCGTTAATAGCATACGTATTTACACCTTTATATTATTATGCACACAGGCGAAGGTGTTTGGCAACTGCCGAAACTCGGTGGTACGAGACTCTAATCAAATCAAAGTCGAAAGGCGTAATGGAATCGTCCGCTATTGACATCGACGGTATTATTGAATGAAGAAAAAATAAAGAAAAAAAAATAAAGAGATTCATTAAAGTTGAGTTTATGAAAAAGGAACATTTACCACGTAGATTTATTTATAACTTATTTTCTACTACAGTTATATGAATGAAAAATATAGAAATTGAACCACACAGATTTCATTAAGATTTCTTATGTTTTGTTAAATATTTATACATGAATAATATTATTTCTTACTATAATTTATTGTTTAATATCAGTATCAACGCAGAGAAAAAGACTTACGCGACTTATGTTGCGATAGATGCAATAAAAATATATGCAATTTACATGCCTTAATCGAACTGCTTTATTACAAATATCTTTCCCTAATAAAAATTCTTGGCAGTTAGAGAACAAACTAATTTAATAGTTGTTTCCTATTTAAAATTGTTCATAATAGCGAGTATTTTACTTATAAAATCGGTCTTACAATCTACATAGCTATCTTTAAATAAATAATTATCAAACGATTACGTCTAATAAACTACTACATTTGTACATTAATGAAAATTTTTGTATTCACGCTAAATCGTTTATAAAATTCTCTGTAAGTTATTAATATTGACATTTCTAAATTTTTACTTTACTACTTCTTAGGATCCCAATTTAACAAAGCTCACTTTATCTTTATGCGTTCGAGGTATGATGGTGATTAATGAAACCCCAGTTTCTGGATGGAATCCTGTAAGGAAGCCACGAAATGAACAAACGGAAATGTTAGTATGTAAAGCGTTAATAGTCACGTCGTTAGTTTAATTTAGTCAAGCGTTAATAGCATACGTATTTACACCTTTATATTATTATGCACACAGGCGAAGGTGTTTGGCAACTGCCGAAACTCGGTGGTACGAGACTCTAATCAAATCAAAGTCGAAAGGCGTAATGGAATCGTCCGCTATTGACATCGACGGTATTATTGAATGAAGAAAAAATAAAGAAAAAAAAATAAAGAGATTCATTAAAGTTGAGTTTATGAAAAAGGAACATTTACCACGTAGATTTATTTATAACTTATTTTCTACTACAGTTATATGAATGAAAAATATAGAAATTGAACCACACAGATTTCATTAAGATTTCTTATGTTTTGTTAAATATTTATACATGAATAATATTATTTCTTACTATAATTTATTGTTTAATATCAGTATCAACGCAGAGAAAAAGACTTACGCGACTTATGTTGCGATAGATGCAATAAAAATATATGCAATTTACATGCCTTAATCGAACTGCTTTATTACAAATATCTTTCCCTAATAAAAATTCTTGGCAGTTAGAGAACAAACTAATTTAATAGTTGTTTCCTATTTAAAATTGTTCATAATAGCGAGTATTTTACTTATAAAATCGGTCTTACAATCTACATAGCTATCTTTAAATAAATAATTATCAAACGATTACGTCTAATAAACTACTACATTTGTACATTAATGAAAATTTTTGTATTCACGCTAAATCGTTTATAAAATTCTCTGTAAGTTAAATAGCTCATAAAAAAAATGCAATGACAAACAGTCTTCCACTTTAAATACCTCATCAGTGCTTGTTAAAATCATACAAATACTTGCACACAGTATCATCTCCGATTCATCACACTATTAGAATGATGTATCAATAAAATATATTCCAAAATTATTGATATACCATCTTCGAAGTACGAAATTAACGTAGATTATTTTAATACAAGTTGCTATCGCGCACTACACCTTCGAGAGATCCACTTCCTCAATAGTAGAGATAAGATTATCAAGGCCAAATAAGAAACCTTCTTCATGGTTGCCCTGTTCCCATGGTTTCCTATGTGTCACTTTATGTCCATTCGGTAACTCCCGCGTCTTAGCAAAGTCGATCAACCAAACGCCAACTTTGTCATTGTCGTAAATCATGAAGATGCTGCTTCCAATTATCTGTAATTAATGAAAAATATAAGAATTAGGAATACAATTTCTTTTTCCATAAAAGAAGTAAAACAAAGTAGTAGGTAAGTACCTCGTGAGTCTCAAAGTACTCGGATGCCTCGAGTTTCGAGCGTAGAGTCTTCAAGCGCGCCAACAACTTCTTACGTACGGCTTCGCGCATGCCGAGGAAGAGTTTCATGGTATCGAGCACCTCTTGGTGCGATTTCACCTTCTTCAGGTCGGTGATCGGCGGCGCGCCGGGTAACTTCATAGCCTCGATTCGAAACCCGTGGCTGCAGGTCGAGCTCTGTTGCTCGCGGAATTGCATGTACCGCAATTTGGTCACGGCGCGTTGCTCGTGTTCCTGCTCCGTTGGAGCGTTCGGATCGACAGAGATCATCTTTTGATAGAGATCGGATCTCGCGGTGGTTTTAGATACTTCGGACTCAAGGAACGTCCTCGTACCCATTTTTATGTCCATCACGTGCGGATCGTTGAAGCCGAATAGCAAATCCTGCAGTTCGATAAACGTATCACCTTTGTAGTCCACTTCTCGATAATATCTAAAAATATTTAAATAAAAATCGTTCAGATTAAAAAGATCTTGGTACAATTACTGTTGGTAATATTATAATTTAAAGACTCTGATGAATATTGTCAACGTTTAAAATATTGTTTGATGCTTATCGATTACATCAATTGATATCTAAACTTTTTAGATAGTAAATTACATAATAATTTATTTATTTTCTTGATAATACTTAATTGTAGTTTTAAAATAGTACTACACATGTGCATACATTAAATGATACGTTTCGAACTGTCTACCCATTAATCACTTTACTGCAACCTAACTGCATGATATGCGTAAATTAATATCAGCCACTAAAAACTAGATCACGATTACAGACATATATAATTTGAATACAAAATAAATTTAAGTAGAATAATACGAATAAAAATACAAGCAAGAAATAGAAGTACTCAATTTTATTTTACCTTGGTATACAGTCTCGTAATTCCTTGTCTTTGCTAAGTGCTTCGTAAACGATTCGTTCTGTATTCTCTGCACCTCCGGTTTTCCTCTTCCAAACCGTCCCCGGACCCGCTGGTGCGAAACCATCCGGATGTCCGGATAATTGAAACCAAGACTTTAATCTGTTCTTTAATAGAACGTCACTAGCCGGAGCTGTTAAATCCAAAGCGTTCTACGAAGATAATTAAAACGTGACATTATTATAATGCGTTAATTTTTTAGAGAGAAAGGAATAAAAAGCAACGGTTGCTCCAGAAGTTAACGCATATACAATAAAAAAGTAGCAGTACCAGTGCTAGAAACTTTAATGAGAGATCCTCCTCTGGCAAAGTAGCGTCTGATAGGACCAGAGGAAAATGTTCCATCTTTTGCATCGTCGTTGGATCATTAGGCAACTTGACAAGGGTCCCGGTGGAGCTGGATCCAAGGCTGTTGGACCGATTCGAGCTTGAGCCCGTAGACGTGCCCCTTCGCCACTGACGGAACGCACTGTAAGTGCTGCTCGACGCATCTTTTTGCCTTCGATGCTCTTTCTGGTTCGAGCTATGGTTGTTCGGCCGCGTTTGCTCTTTACTCGAAGGCTGCAACCAAACCAGTCTACTAAGAATTTAATCTAATCGACACGATCTGAGGAGTTAGATTGATTGGGACTCAATCAAAATGAAATCAATTCAAGCTCATCCCTTGCATCGAAAATAAAAAAGAGAGATTCGAGATAAGCGAGAGCACAGTTTGGCAAATTTTTCTTACGTATGCAACGTATAAAAACCCCATCATTAATGCCAATAATAATATCCATTAATCATCCATAAATTCATTACTCGAATCAAATTTATTTGAATAAAATCGCATTCGTCATTCCTGAGTAATTTCGTTTTGCGCAACGTCCTATCCATTTAATTCTCGATTGTGCTTCGTGCACGTGGTCCAGCACATGCAGCAACTCTGGATCCGTTAGTTAAAAGTTGTTTAATTGAATTTAGCGAGCCGCGAGCAATTCGCGTTAATTGGCGGTCCGCGGTTAACGATTAATCTGATCATGACGCGTCACGCGTGTTCCCCTGGTCCAGCGTGAAAAGAGAACGATTGAGATAATTGAACGGTTGACGCGCGTAACGTTCGAATAAATTGCTAATCAAGACGTACTACGTATTACGTATTATACTATGTATGGACCACAAAGCTCAAAGAAACCTTTCTGCAATGTACAATTTCTTTTGTTAATTTCTATAGTCTACAGTACAATGACACGATCCCTTTTCAACTCGATTGTACTGATAAGTCACCTATTTACGTTTGGTACGTGTATGAATAGAGATATTCAAATTTTTCAATTAATAAAGATTGGTATCATTTTTATTATTACTAGCAAGTTTATGTGCAGGTGTGACTGGCTGCGAAATTCGATATTGTGATACGCCATTCATTTTAATCTAACCGGCAAGGTCCGAACACGAGGACACCGTGAAATCATGTCTCGTGATTGCTGGACGCGCAGTCTCGTGCGATATGCAGTGGACAGCGAGATGGTAGGAAATAAATGATCGACTGGCATTTGCATTTTTGAATAATTACAATTCATACATCATTTAACATTTCTAGAAAAAGAAAAAACATCCTTTCACGTTTACACATCTTTACTTATTAAGAAGGACGCACTGAGTTTTCTTTTAAGGAACCTAAATTAAATAAATTATATGTTCTCAAAGAATTGTTATATTTTATAGTTTTCTAGACTCCGTTTTTGCTTCGACCTTTTATTTCTGTCACGCAATTAGACGGTTTAGGTGTCGTGAGTCAGTACCGCTGATTATGACGGACGTGGCGATAGTTTCAGATAATAAAACCATCGTCGTTATTCAATACTTTTATTTTACAGCGCTTCTTTTATCGCGCAGCTGGCGTCCCTGGCAAAAACTGAGATTTAAGTTCAACGCAATCCGACGTACGTCCGTATAAGATACAGTACAGAATTTTCAGTGCAGAAAACAAAGTCTCCCGTTAAATTATTTCTCACTGTACTTCGTCGTTCGCGACTGTTTTCATATTAGAGACACAAACGGACGATAAATCACGGCGTACAGGGCATAACTGATCCTGTCTTCAACGGAGAAGGCTCGCGGCACATTTACGGACACACGCAGGCATTTTGATTGCGGTTGATCGTAACGCAGGTAATCACGGCACGTTCGGAGTAAAATATGTGAGGAATGTATAACGAGTTGTCTTCGATGCAAACGTCGATGCGTAACCAGCAAAACAGTTCCCGAGGAACGGTTTATCAAGCGGGTAGATCGAAAGATTTTGATTTTCGCTGAAATCGAATTCTATATTGCATCCACTCGTGCGTACGCTGTCGTTTAAAGCTTCGATGACGAAAGACATAAAGTAAATTCCTCGTGAATTCAATTTTTGAGTTATGAAACTGATTTGACAGACGTAAATTCGTCGATAAAAATATAATTGAATGAATATCATACTAAGAGCTCGTGGCCTGCTAATATTATTTGTTTCAGGTAAATGTTGCTCTTAGAATAAAACCGAAACTGTTAGAACGACACGTACTTCTAAACATGAGGCTATCTAATTGTAAAAGAATTTTGAATTCGAAATTGTGATGCGCACATAAACGCATGCTAATTCGAGATGATAATTTGTCATTGATAAATTTCAATCGTCCACTGTTCGATACATAAGGAGACGAATAATTGAGTTACTAATTATTTTGGGTCTTAAGAAAGATAGTATTTGTGTGAATTATATGTTATCAATATTAATCGTCGATTTTCGTTTAACATCAGCATTTACTATTTCTTAATATCTCTTTACATAATATAAAGTAAAAAAAGATCTGCCAATTTTAGAAGTATTTAGATTATCGCAAAAAATAAAGTATTTCGGGAGAGAACGAAGAAGGAAAAAAACAGGAAAAATTAATTTTCCTTTATTTAAAGAACGTGTCGAACGACAAATTACGCAGGTACGTACCTTCGCCTTAGCCTTCGGCTACATTCCGCTACATCGTTGCGAGCACGAGGAAAAAGAAGCTTGTAACTTGTTCGTTTCGTAAGTAGAGCCGTGTTTTACAGAGCATTGACGTCACTGGTGTATTCAGATTGCATTGTTGCAGATAAGTTTCAATCGAGCACCGTTCCAGTTTTAACATTTAACAGCCAGCAGGCAAGAGATAAGACAAATTCGCTTTGTACACGATTTGATAAGAATTTTCAATGGGAAAAATAGTGCTACTGCTGGTTCATGATCGAGTGAATAATGATTACATGTACACTTGCCAATTATACATGTAATTGCGATAAAAAAATAATAACGTTTTTTCTTTGGCTCTCTCTTTGGTATTAATTACAATATTATACTCGATCGTGTAAGATTGTCCACGTTTGAAATTCTGATGAAGGAACTACTATCCAACAATAAGCATAACTTAGGTTCTATGATTGGTGTGGTTGACGCACGTTCGATCGCATTTGAGTATTTCATTATCACCTTTGGAGCATAACTAACTTTCACTAGTGAAGAGAAACCGATAATCGCATTTTTAACAAACCTTTACGTTTGCGCATACAAAGCAATCGAGGTCACTGTCATTACTTTATGAAATTCAGTCGGGTTGAAAATTTTGTTCTCGGTTACATTGAGGACGATGCAAAACATTCTTATTGTTAATTATCTCCTCTATTTTCATCAATATCAGTTCCACTCTTCCGTTCATAGAACATGAAAATAATCGATGCGAAAGATTAATTTATCACTGACAAACGATCGCGAAAGGAATGCTCATTGTTTGTAAAATAATAAGACGTGCATACATAAATCATGTTTGTCGCGTAGTTGCATTATTTTTAAATATTGGTAGGTCAGTAATCCTTTGTCTTTCGTTTGGAACTCTATCTTTATTTAGCGTTTAGTGTACAAATGTATTGTGAGGTTGCTAATTTTGAACCATTGATTGTGAACGTGAAACTTTTTCTTGTCGTCCACCGATACGAATTGAATATCGATTTGAACAAGGTTTCGCAAACAATTTGTATGCTGACGAGCGTGAGCGATGGAAATTCGCGATCGTACTGCATCGTTAAAATAAAGATTTCTGACCCGACGCGAGCGTGGGTGTGTCGCGATGTTTAAACAAACATAAAAAGGTGGGTGATTTATGGAACTATACACATCCTTCAGCTCTTATTTTTTTTAAATAACCTTGCTGCGATTATACTTTTCTACGTTGACTTTTCTTGTCTTGTATAAATCACGCGATTTGCGCGTAGTGTAAAGATAATTACTGGATATTCATTAACGAATTAGTGACGCACGATGCGAAATGGTATTGCGTGAAAAAGTGCTATAAACAGATATGTTTTTAAGAAAAAACTATTGTGAAATTATCCGGGATCGATTTAGCAGTTTGATATTAACATTGCGTTTCAAGCATCGAGATAAACATTTGTTACGGTTTAACGAAGGAAACGAGTAGGATGATAAACAGAAAATCAGTATTTTATGTTAATATTTGTGCAGTATGGTATTGACGACAGTTATAAAATTAATAGCTTGTTTTGCGTTTATATGATGGCATTATGACGTACATCATAGAAGACATCGTTGACCTTTTAGCAAATTGATAATTTGCCTAAAGATATCAAGTGGTTATATTTAATTTAAAAATTTCGTTTATCGTTTCCTGTAAATTTACTTAAAAAATTTCTGTATCATTGTAACCACACAGTATTTCATTACAAAAATGATTGTTCCCGAATTAAGTTTCATTTAAGCCGAAAAAATGAAAATGAACTACTTAATTTGCTGTTAACTGCAAAATTTCAAACTTGAAAACGTCAAACGAAAATCATATAAGAAGTCAGTTTTGCAGAAAGAAAATGAGACGGAAATTAATTGTCAGAATAACGTCAATGAGATGATATATACGTGTACACGTAAATGTACATTGGTGTTGTCGCTTTAAGCAAATGAGGGATCTAAAATGTCGATCAATGAGCCCCTGTAAACGTGACCCTACAGGAAAAAAACAATTTATAAATCAAGCCTTATTTTAGATTGTCGTCGATAGTAGAAAATTATTTGGCCACGTGTTTACATCTTTTCACACGGCATAATTAATGCGAGATCGTTTTCATTTCGACAAATAAACGGAATGAAAATTTCTCACATCAATTATAGCACGTGGGATGAAAGCTTTAAACCAAGGTACAACGAATCTCGCTGTTTATTTATCAGTATGAATAAAATATTCGATTCTTAGAAGCTTTCTGAATGATGAATAATTGTGAATCTTACGTGACTCGTGCTGCATGAGAATATTTCTCCTTTTTGTTTTGTTATTCTTTATCACGTGCGCATGTAATAACTCCTAATTGTGATTAATATTACTATGTGATCGACTGAATCACAGCTGTTTATTAATGAAACGCCTATCCTGTTCGACAAACAAGTAATTCTGTTGCTTTTTGTACTGACAACTTGATGAAATATTCATTATCAATATTATACATAATCCTCGATTTACCAATAGATATAGTTAATAGATGCTAAAAATGATATTCGACATTATTCAGTATTCTTTTCTAAAAAATGCGTAATCAAACACCGTTTTACTAAAAATAGTTTCGTATGTTATCAAGCACACGAATGTTCTTGAGATGTAATTTCACGTGCACTGCCATTATTATTAATGTTGCTTATAAACCGTTAAATCAAGGAACAGTAGAAGGTCGCGATAAATATATCTCACAATCTGTGCGACTCCACGTATCTAATTAACGATTGATCAACATAAATAATTCAATGCAAATATAAAAAACGATACGCACTATTAATCTACGTACTACGTTACGACCACTTCGAAGCATTAAGATCATAAGGATATCTCCGTGAAGATACTTTCGCTTTTCGGCCGGACGAACTACCGTGGGATGCCAGAACAAACTTTTATAAGCATCGTAAAATTGTTTCAGGTTCTTTCGAGCCTAAAATAATAAATTCATTGAACGGTTAACACTGTTAAGACTCCGAGGACGAAATTACCTTCTTCATTTCATTGATATTGTTTGTAGACCACGTGAGATGAGTTTTTTAATAGCTGAGTGCTCGACCGAAGATCATTAATCTCTTTACTCGAATTCTTCATATCGTCCGTGTGCATACATACGTATGTATGTACTTCTGAAGTACCATATCCAATGATACATTTACTACACTTATGTAATTGATATATCTATGCTATTAATACGTTCGCGGTGTATTACACGCTCGATTGCGATAAACTATCATTTGATGAGCTTTATCCGAAAATGTTCATTTTTCAAGTGCACGATAACGATAACGAATAAGATGTCACAGTACTCGCGATAATTTGGTGTTTATTATTACTATACAAATGTTGATCGAGCTACCACCAAGCCGAGGAAATAGATCGAGATGGCAAATGAATGTATATTCATACTACTTTATTATAAATGTACACTAAAATACTTGTGCAATTAAATACACTGGTAAGCTATTATTCCATTAATTCTGATTCCGATGTTGAAATACTTTCATGGCTCTTTGTCGTGTCTTATCAAGCGTTTACCTTGTTTAGCTCTGCCTTTATGAGGAAGTAGCATCTTAACATCAGCAAGATTAGGTAATAATACTCTAAGATTCTACAACTTAACTTTAAATTAATATAAAGCTGTACAACTGTTTTTCTGGCATTAGTTTTCCTTCTTATCTGAACCGTATGGCAACAAATGCAAATTTAGATCGTGTTACATATTGAATAAAAGACATCTGCTCTGCTGTCTCAAGAGAGGATACTGTTCCTATCTAAAATAATACTCTTAAGTCTGTTTACATAAATCGGAAAAGCATCGTTCATTGCATTGACGTTGGCAGTAATTTATGTTCAAAACGAAGATAATAAACAAAATTCGATTATCCGTCTTGTGGATAGATTTCGAATGGACTTTGTTATTCGTAGTGAACTGTTCCAGTTATTCCAGTTAATGTAACGCTATATCTTTTGCACTGGAGCGTATTATTGTTGTCGATAATAAAGACCGAACATCTCACTCGGAATAAATTGTGAAAATAATTTATATATATGTTACAGTCTTAAATACCCATGTGCGAATTTCCCCACGCCATGATTAACCTACATTTTCCCGTTTATTTTTATCTTCTACCATGTGTTAGATACAGAGAGATCGTAGAGTGTAAAACTTGTAAAAGAGGCAATAAGTATGTAATATTGTTGGAAATACCTGATTGATAAAAACGTACTTATACTTTATAATACAGTTTACAAAATCATTGGAGAAATACTTTATGAATTATTATTAGCGTATTAGATGAAATTGGTGTTTGAAAAGCCAACGAGTTGTATAATCGACATCGTAGTAGCGAATAACACGCAGAATGTTTAATGGAACATAATAATTCGTGGTCTGCATAGTTATTTGAATTACTACATTCTCCCTGATTGACGTCGCCTGTTACGTAGTCGGAGTATGCACCTTGATTTCTTCTTACTTTATGTTGTATACGTTATTGATTTACTACGTGAGAGAAAAAGAAACAGGAATACTTTAAAAAAGTTAAAGATAAAGATAAGAGAATCGCGTTGCTCTTCAAATTAACTTTTTCATTGATTTTCACCGAACAAAAAATCCCTCGCCTGTTATATTTAATCTCGATAGATGGCTAATCTTCAATCTGTGAATGCATTTTTCCTGGTATTTTTTCTCATTAATTTCGCTTGACCGATTAATAGGAAATCTTGTTTGTTAATTGTGACTGATGGAAATCTTATCTATTAAAATTGAATTCGTGATAGGACGTACTGTATCTGTAAATACTGTGGAAAAAAACGAAATAAAGATTGAACAATTATATGCGGTAATACATACATACGTATTATACGTAAGTATTTACAACATTGAACTCCTCACTGCATAATCGTATTATCATTGTCATGAAAAAATCACAATCACTATGATACATATTATATATGATAATGTCTCATAAATAATTACAATTTATGAAATCCTTGAATTCTATAATTAGGAAAATAATAGTTCCTATTCTCGCTTTACTATTTTAGAATCACCTTGTAGACACTGGACTACACGAAGCGTGTCTCTCACACGTCACAGGAATTATTTTATACCGTATTCACGTATACGGCTACGAATGCGTTTAATATTAACTACGAATGAATTAACTATAAAGTCAACGGAATAATGATTTACATCTAATCAGTATGAAGCACTTTCAAGTTAAACGAGAAAAAGTTGCGTAAAGAATTATTTAACACATTTCTTAATTGCAATACATTGGGTATTAAATAACAAAGCCATAATTCCAGTCATAAGCCTGATCATTTATAAATGAAATATTCTAGCCTCATAAAAATTACTGTCACTACTTATATCCCAAATGTACAATAAGATCATACGAACAGGTTAAACAAGTTCATCGAAGGTTTATATCCAAACAACAGATTTTTAACAGACAAGGTTTCATTGAATTAAACGGTTCATACATGAGATGTAGATACGCATATAATAAATTACGAACGTTTCACGGATTTCTTTTTCAACGTTTTACAAAGCAAATGGTTTACACGTTACTTGCTCCAGATATAAGTAAAACGATCCTTGAATTTCCTATCGAGACACTGCCTTGAATTTATTCATCATGCGATCATTTATTTCTCGAAGGTCAAGTCTGTTCAAATTTCGAAAGTTTGTTCGATTCCGATTGAATGTTTTGCGATTGGTTCACATTCTATTTGCCGCCATTTGTATTATAAAACATCTAAAGGTGAATATATGTAACGAATGCGGGGACCATGCATTTGCATAATTAGTAACAGAATTTTGGAACTGGAAATCGCGCGAAAGAATAACCAACTAAAAATATAAGACCGGTTCGAGAAACCTAATTTTACGTACAGCAGAAGTGTAACTTATTTGCAGGCAAACGGTGCACACGAACAAAAAGTATTTTATGATTAAAAACTGTATTCGGTTGGAAAGTTTCTCCGAACGTAATGTTTTCATTGCATGCAACTCTGTGCAAATATTCCTGAATGGAACAACGGCAACAAAATATTTGTTTTTTTAATTACCAATGAACTAACGTTATGCAAATAACGTAAAAAACGGCAAATCCGGTAAAGAAAGCATATATAACGGCAAATTGAAAAATAGGACGATGTTACCGTTAATGGTGTCTTATGTGAATACCGATTTAACTTCATGAAGAACAATTCTTCAACGATGTAAATAAATGTTCACTTTTAATGATAATTATAACGTAAATCTCATGAACAGCTTTTCGTAAAAGTGATTAATTATGAATTATTTGCTAATTATTCATGCATAAATGTTTTGCCGTAATATATAAGATATGGACATTAAATTAGACTTAAATATGAGTAATAATCTTGCAAGTTTCAACGTTTTTCATGCTGTGATTCACAAAACCATTAGCAAAGATAACAAATAATCAGACAAAAGAAGGGTACTAGCTTCTTGTCACTAACCATTTTGCGGTATGATTGTGAGAAATATTATTTTCAGTGAGAAACCATGATCACTATAGGTTTAGCACAAATCCGAATAGCGTCTCGCCATAGTGAAACCCTACAAACTGTGCTTCATCGAACTTTCTCGTACTTCTATTAACCCCAAAACGCAGTCTTAAATTTTTAAGCATACCTAATACTATAGGGTCAACTACGACCGTAAAATATAAAATCTATCAACATATCTCTTTAGATTCTTTATTTTATGAACAAAACGTTAATCTTTTAGAAATGCCGGCTAGTTTACAGGGTGAGCTATCGAACCCATCACCGGGCGAGTCACGTAGCAGGTGAAAAACGAAATAACATGCGAAGACTATGTACCGCAAACGGTTTAACGGTAACTTTTGACAGGCACGTACCTTGTTAAAGTGAGCTTGCAAAAGCCGCTCATATTGGTCAGCAGCACAGAGATAAAATCTCGTGGTGAATGCCTCCTTTCGTGCGGGTAGGGGCGCGTGGCAAACACTGCTTGACATTATTCCTCTCTTCTAAGCTGGCACTCCTCCGGAACACGTACGCACAGTATGTACAAATAAAATCGTCACTCTTCAACCATGGACGGACGCACTTGAATCGCGATGCTTATTCGCAAACAAGTTAACCTCAATCAAATGTAAACCCACGGAATAATTGTCAGTTATTTTAGGTGCGGCTTTCGGAGACAATTACCAAAGTATCATCGGTTTATTGTTCTATATTTGTTTCTTATAAATGTTTTCACGTTGCACAAACAGAGGTTACTCCACGCGGTACTTCAGGAGTGTAAGTTGCATCTCTGCGAGTATGGATTTTAGCTCCTCTCTGTTTACTTTACTTCTGAACACACCTTGATATCGAGTATATAGAAACACTGATGTTCAAGTGATGTTTTCGTAGCTTCAGCAAGCGAGCAATCTTGTAGCAACTTCGTAACGACAGGTTTCAAACGTAAGTGAGGAAGGCATATACAAAACAAAACTATTGATATCGCGCGCGCGCGCTGTTCAACGAGCCACCCCGAAAAGTGAGTTGAAACGACGATCGCAGTATCAGTATGACAGAATTTTTGTCAACGGATTCAATGATCGTTCCCTTTTCCGTTCCCTCGCGAATATTTATAGATATCACACGAGAAATATAGAAAATACAAATCAATACTCCTCGCTTTCCCAGCGCATACTGAACGGTGGAGAGAGTTACTATGTAGTTTTATCGTCTCCCGGACGCGTTCCCCCTCCATTTCGTGTCGACGTCCGACGACGCTCGTTCGTGCACTTGTGTATCCTAAAGTAGTACGCACAACGTGTGCAAACCACGCCAGACTTCTACACTCCATATAATACAACTCGGCTTACTAGAGATATTTCGCCCATTAAATTGATAGTTTGGAGATCAAAGTTACATATTAAAAAAACTTAGTAGTCAAAGATAATGCTTAAATAAAAACACGAATGTGAAGTATCGAAAATTGATGCGTTTTAAAAGGTGATTGTGCGAGCTCCTTAAATTCGTAGCTATGGTAGGGCATTATTCGAACACTATTCATCCAGGTTAAAATTATTTGAAAATTCCTTTACATAATGCATTGTTTCTATTTTGAAGTTGCTTGTAACTAATACATCTTAATTGTTTGTTAAAATATATTTTTTGGTATTGTACAAAAATCTATATTCATTGAATATTATATGCTACATAGTTATATGTACATAAAAGTTCTTACGGTCTTCATTATTGTATAATATCTTATATGCATTTTTACTTCATTCATTCAAGGTCTAGAATTAGCAATAAAAATATACGTATGAATCAGTTAACTAAGCGTAAAAGTACAAACATACGTACGAATGTACTATCTTCCACAATGAATTAAATTTCCACTAAACCCTTTTTCGTCTTTGATTTTCGATTGTAATAATCAATCTGATATATTACAACTTTAAAGCGAAGAAGATAGAATCTTTTATACTATCTTGCGAATGGTCACCCAGCTATAACAAAAATTAGATTATCTCCTCACAGGGAGATAATTAATTATTTCATGTACGATACAATCGTAAAATTTCTTTAGATTACGGGATAAAGTATTACCTCAATTAAGATTAACGTGTTACCGCGAATAAAGCTTCACGTGACATTTTATTTGGTCAAAGATCTGTGCACGGCGTTTATTCCAGCTGATTCTTCGTTGATAAAGTTCTTCTCCACCGAAGAGATTCTACGATACTATTAAAATGGCAGTGCCCGTGTAATCATTGGAATGGCGAATGAGACCCAATGGGATTCAGAATACAGTTGGTGATCGCTCTTTTCAGTGGAGTTAGAAGGAAATTGCATAGGACCTTTCTTGTATCTGACAACTGTTCAACGAGTGTTTTGCTTTCTATTTCTTATTTCGGTGGCAATATATTTTAAAGGGCGTCAAAAAGTCCTATAAGGCTGGCATTCTTTAGTAATCTCTCCTCGATGGCTTCCCCAATCATCTTGGAGAGGTGCTTGCTGACGCAAAAGCCTTAATATCGAGGTGAAAGTCAGCAGCTCGCGGGACAGTTACGAATCATTACGGGATTTCGGAAACTAGAAACGACGTAAAACCGGGTGAAACTTACGATTTCCCCCTTAACAATCATCATAACATCTTGACCCACTTAATCTGTGATTGACGTAATTATAACTGGAATTAGATTTCAATGTGAAAATATATGTTTAGCCATATTAAACGTCGTACCATTAAAATGATTTATACAATTCTCTTCTTTCCGGTATTGTGCAAGCATGTGTTTTCTTACCAATAAAATATTTGCCCTATTTAAGAAACGCGAGGTGTTCTTACGGTAAAACCCAGCGATTGCATCAACGCAGCATCCACATTTGAACACCTGCTCTATCATTATTCAGAGCTAGCTGCATTTAACCATTATCGTTTTATTTCTCACTTTATACCTGTATACGATTCTCTACTTTCCAAGAATTGCAAATGTATTTCTTTACAAACGGAATATTTGCCCTATTTAAGAAACGTAGGGTTTCCTTATGGTAAAACCCAGCAATTGCATCAGCCCAGCATGCATGTTCAAACGTCTGCTGGATTTCACCATTATTTTCTTATTTCTGTTACTTTGCACCCGAATATACTCTTGAATAGTTTTTACATTATACATAGTAAATGTTTGAAATGGTGACGCATGGGGCGATAAAGGGGATGTTTCTGTAATGCTGTCCCCCCCATCCGTGTGAAGATCACGTGAAAATTCGGCACATTTTATTCGGCGCATCAATTCATTGGTTAAAAATAGTTGCGATAACAATGTGATAAAAAAATTGACGTCACGTACAGTAGTTGCGCGCCATTTATGATACCCTTCCAAATTTGAATCGGTTATCTGACGCAAACGATGCCGAAACATACGAGAAAGAATAAAACTTTAGTCGAGGGAAAACGTGTGCACGGGAACACGCAGTACGAACATGGCCCGTAGCACGTATACTCTCTTATTTTTTTTCCTGCGTCCACGACTTCTATTCCGCACAATGCTTTTAAGTTTTTATCGTTCTAATTCTTCGAAGGCATTGAGGAACAAAAGGAACTCTTGCGAGTTTCATTACGTCGCGACAAAGAAAGTTATTCATGTTTCTACATTTCCTACATTCCCAAGTACCGCATGCTTATTGAAATAGTATGTATTTTATATTTGTTCAAGTGTATAGTCAATGACATCAAAATTTAAAAAAATATAGACAGTCGAACAGAATATTTAAATTTCGACGTTTATCGAAGTCGCTGTATAAACGAAGTCAATTTTAAGTGTATAGGACGTCTGTTTTTATGTCTTCATATTGTTTGGTAATGTTTCAATTTGCACACGAGTTGGCAGACGGCTTTTAGTGTCTAGAAAAGATCGCGCGAAAGACGGAATTCTTGAGAACAATTGCGCAGGTGCTTTTCAAATTTTCATCATCAGACTTTTCATACAAATAGTGCCAGTATGTATTACTCATGCGAATGGCATGTGAACGCTTTCAGGAACGCATAATTGAGATAGTATACCCGGATGTTGGCGTATGACGTGAATATTCCGTTTAAAAGACTAAACGAGAGATGATAAACTTTCCAGGCGAGATATGCGATGACACGTGTCTCGTTAATTTCTCTTAAATTTAGTTTCTCAATGCTAGATACTTTTATTGTACGTATTTTCAATTACAGATGAAACGATAAAATGTACAGTGATTTATTTCAATTAAAATAGCTAAAATACGTATCCTGTGCGCAGCGCAATTTCGCTAGTTTTGAGGTCGATCACCTTGGATTGCATCGATCACGTTTAACGGTAAACGAATGAGAATCAGGCTCAAAACCGGAACCAGCAATGCACATACGTTTGCATAGAGATTGTTCTTAATATGATGATGATTATTAGTTTAGTATTATTTATTAATGAGAAGATGCAAATTTATTACAATTTATCTTGCATCTTCTCATCTGAACGCATGTTGAGTTTCATTTATAGTTATTAAAAGTTTAACGACGATATTGCACGTAACAAAGTATATGTATTTTTTTTACGTTAAAGAAAGTAACGATCATCCATCGCATCGATAGTAACTGTTACTTATGTAGAATGGGTATTCATACTTTAATGACGTCAAGCATTTGCAATCGACAACAGGATATGTGTCGCAAATGCTTAAAAGTAATGCGATCGCGTTGGGTTAAACAGGGAACGAAAATTTTTAACATGCAACCGGATGACCAAACTTGATAGACGAGGCCAAACATGACACGCTTGTTGTTAGTCATTATGTATTGTAATTTACGTACGATTCACGGAAGAGAACAATGTCGCGTGTATTCTGCATTCTATGGCCATTGATACAGACTTCATTCAAAGATTACATTTTCTACTGAATTACTAACATTTCATTAATCGTATTACTCGTTTGTAGTAATTTATTGCTAGTAGCAGTTTATACACAGCTCCCTTAAATTTATATGAGGAAAACCAACTGTTGAGAATTGCGTTTTCCCGTCCGGCATTTCTTATTGTCCAATGAAAATATTCATTTGGTGATTCTTTCCCCAGTCATCCATGACTCATCGTGACGATTGGGTCATTTAATTTATTATTGTATATTCATTCTATTTTTATATCATGAACATCGATTGTTAATAATTGACGTTCACGTTATTATTTCGATATACGTGTGCATATAAATGCGTGTATTCACCTACAATGACTCACCTGTCGCTCCAAAATGTGACAATATTAAGCACTTCTGTCTCCCACGACAGCGCTTCTTGATTCTTGTTGCTTTACGATATTAATCGCTTATTCTATAGTAACTTATTTTAAAGAATGATAAAAACCTATAAGAAAACTACTTCAGAACTCGATGCAAATTATGTACCTATTTTGACTTGCCCAATCTTAAAACATTATTTGCCTATTTTGACTTCCCCAATCTTAAAACATGTTATGATGTTAAAATATCTAAAATAATTAGAATATTATATTGTATCTTGCGCTTTTATGTTCGTATCGATTGTAATTAAATCTGATTTCATTTTCCTTGAGAAATTTCTTGGCCCGTTGAATGAAAAATTCTGATCTATTAATCGGTCAGAAAATCGCTTAGAACAGCTTTGCCGCGTGTCTGTTTAACAAGCGGTGACTGTAATACTTACGTATGCAAATTCTTTTCTACTAATTGTAGGAATGTATTAGCAAATTACTTAATAGCATTTATAAACGTAAAAAGCGTCAATGTATGTTTGTACATATGTGCATCAAGTGATAAAATATCATATTGCAATATGATTTACATTCGTACCTCTATACTTACAATGATAGAGGAAGCGTCTAATTATGCATGTAACTTCATCGTTCGCAATAGGTTGCGCAAAAATGATGATACATGGATTGGAGGAAGCACATCCAAATCTTATACTTTTTCTTAACACATTGCTCGATCAGCAATTTAAGTGTTATATCGGACATTAAAATATTCAAGAAATGTCGCACGACTTGCCGACTGAAAAAAAGCGAAGAACGTCACTCCGGTTTGATATTCGGATTAACATACCATTTTTTGCACTATTATTATCTGTCACATGATAACATAAATGTTTTCACACGCTTTGATACAATCGTACTTTTGCCATCAAAATTAGAATGCGCACGGGTGTATCGAATAT